AAACCCTTTCCCTTCCCCCCCCTCCCCTCTCTCTCTCCCCCTGTATTGGCATATCCAGGACATAGAGCGAGTACGCGAGGCTCTCCTGGACTGTGAGTATGATGTGGACGCGTCCATCGCCGACCTCCTCCAGCAGATGGAGCTCAGAGACACCGGAGGACCCCCAGGTGACCCACTTACCGACCTTTTGTAGTTCTTTAGTTTTAAGAATGATGATACTTATCAAGATGGTCCACTCATCTCTTTGAGCCTATTAAGAAAGTGTCCTCAAAATTCGGTGGTGCCCTCTTCGCAAATGCGCACCCTTTGCGAACAGAGTTACCCTACTTGTGTGAAAAAAATCAAAGGGAAACTAACTAGTTTTTGAATAAATAAGAATTCAAATTTCGGAAGAATGCTTTTTTAAAATGGTTATGCTGACAAAAAATCCCTGAAGAGGCAACTGTTTTTTTCGTTTAATTTGACTTTAGAATGAGAGAGGTTAGAGGTCATTAAAATTTTTAAAACCCTAAAACTGCGCACTGAACAAACCCAAACAGCTGATGAACAGCCGTCGATCTGCGCTCGCATGGAGGTGCTATTCCTATTCTTCTTCTGGAAAAACTAAAGAGAGCTTCAAAGCAAAGACTGCAGCGCTATCTGAGCCATTGTGCGGACTTCCGGAGGACACTTTTTTGGCTGAGTGGACAATCTTGTTATGTATCATCATTGGTTTTAGTAAGAGTTTTACATAGGTAGTTAGCCGGTGTTTCGAATATCTTAGTTTTGTTTTAGTGAGGTTTTATGGGACTCGCTACTGCATAAGGTCATATTAGTGCCCAGGTGTGGATGTCAACAGAGAAGTCCAAACGGGGAATCCGGCTTACGCTGCTCACCTTTCTAGCTTCAACAGCACAAAGTCTGCTTCAACTATCAAGGCACCCCGGAAATAGCAGTTCACAAGAGAGTGACAAAAATACAAAAGAAGTAGAGGAAAATGACAATAGGATGAGGAAAGAAAAAGCAGCAGTTCCCCTATGTTGTTCCAACACAGTATGACCATGACATTGATAAATCTGCCCATTTACAATTCTACTACGCATAAGTACATGTTAATATCCCCCCTTTGGGAATGGCCTAAAGACACTTCAGTCAGTGGCACTGCCCTGGAGGGGTATCGTATATCTATTGTCCTGATTTCTCCTACTTTTTTGTGCTTGTTACTGTCTTGTAGCACCCCTTATGTGACTGCGGGTGGTTAGAGGGCGCCACTGGTAGATCCTACTTCTACTTCTTCACTTTCCCTCAGTTTTTTCTGTCTGTCTGTTCTACTTTTTCCCCAGCACTAAATGACCATTATAGAGCCGATGTGCTTCTCTTTACTCAAACAAATAAACTCTTATGTAACCTAATTGTGTTGCAAGTGCCTTGGAACTCTTACTAGAACATTAACAAACATGTTTTAAAAAGTTTTACGGTACTCACAACATAATTAGGTCATATATGTGCCAAACTAGAGGTGTTACTAGAGAGTAGCATGCAAAGGTGGAAGTCTCGTTGCTGCTGATTCTTGTGATGACCCTCACAAAGTAAGTCTGGAAAGAGTCGCCTTTTATTTTGAGCTGTGTCGAACTGACAGACAGCTGTAATCAGCTGTTGAAGAGATCTCATGTTTTCTTTGTTATGTAGTTTTGGAATTTTTTCAGTGCTGATTTTTCTATCCACTAAGTTGGCACCAGTGTCTCTAGTGTAGCCAATATATGGTTTTATTCCATAAGTTAAGAAGCTTTTTTATTGCATATTTTCATCTGTCTGCTGGAACAATGCATCCCTGTCAGCCTGGGTTAACCCTGATAGGCAGGTTCAAGCAGCCCCGGTTGACGGGTGCTCTGGTGTGGTTTGCTTCTTCTTTCCTATGAAACATCTATCGTCTTTTTCTCCCCTTCTTCTTTTTTATGTTTGTTACTCTCTTGTAACACCTCTATTCTTCTGGCACTCATATGACCTTATGCAGTTGGGAGCGCCGTAAAAGCTCTACTAAAACTAAACTAAAGCAGCCCACTTCCTAACTGATCTATATAGTGTGAAAGGGAGGGTAAAACACCAACCTGTTACTTAACCTCTCACCCCCGGGGCTGTGCCACTGAATTAAGTGTCTATAGGCCCTGTCCAAAGGGGGGACATTAACTTGTTCTTATGCACAGTAGAATTGTAAATGGGCTGATTCAACAATGTCATGCTCATAACTGTGCCTGAACTGCAACAGAGAACTGTTGCTTTTTCTTTCCTAATCCTTACTCTCGTCATTTTTCCTCTACTTCTTTCGTATGTTTGTCACACTCTTGCGACCCGCTATTTCCGGGGTGCCTTGATAGTCGAAGCAGACTTTGTGCTGTTGAAGCTAGAGAGGCGAGCAGAGTAAGTCTGATTCCTTGTAAGGACTTCTCCTCCTTTGACATCCACCCCTTGGCGCTCATATAACCGTATGCAACTGCATGTTCCGTAAGTAAAACCTCTACTGGTTGACGCTCATTTGACATGCAGTTGCGAGCGCCATAAAACCTCTACTAAAAGTTACCTAACCTCTTTTTCCCCCCCGTTTCAGACGACAACACATCGCTGACCTCTAAGAGGACCTCCACGGACAGCGGCGTGTTCAACGGCAACGGCTCCACCACCACCAACAGCAACAGCAGCAGCCCCAACAGCAACAGTGGCCGCATCGCAGGCAGCGCCCTCAAGACCAACGGCAACGGCTCGGTCAACGGGAAAGGTCACAAGGTGCACTTCCGAGAAGACAGCTACGGCGGAAGTTCGGGCTACGGCTCCCTCAACAGCAATAAAGGGGGCGGGGCCAGGCCCAAGATGGCCGTCGTACCGCAGGTAGGCACTGTTTATGTACCGGTATGATCTTCAATGCCTTCCATCCCTGGTAGGGTTTAGGCCTCATACAAGTTATCTCTGTCATGGGCCATCCTTCCAAGCTCGTTATTGGTATGATTCTCTGGCTTAATGTTAATTGACGTCTTGCTCTCGTTGGATAAATAGAAGGCAAAAGAGGGGGATATGAACGAAGAATAACCTATTTAGAGAGAACTGCAACAGATGGGAGAAGACCAGGATGACATAAGTTGTTTTTTTAAGAGCCTTCGAGCAGAGGAATGAAATGAGCGGCAAACAATGGCCGCAAATGTCTGCTTTGTAGTGGAGACATGCTACATATAAAAGTGATCCTTTATTATTATTGACTTTGGGGTCAAGTCTGTCGATTTCCAATTGATGCCATTTTGTTAAATTATGTTAACATGCCTTTATTATATATGTCTGACTTCTTTACTAATGTTCTGTAGTTTTAGAATATCCGTCTTGTTTTTTTCTCCAGCTCAAAATACTTATTGTTTGGAGATGTGCTTCCCTTTACTCAACCCCCCCACCCCAAAACCAACAGATCATGAAATGTGAGATGACAGATAATTGGACCCTGAGATGAACTGGTTTCTCTCTGTCTCTCTTGTTTCAGGTGTCGGCAAAGAAACTGAAGGAGGCAAAGAAACTGGAGAAGAAGCGTCGGGCAGAGGAGAGGCACAGACAGAAGTTCCTGGGTGGAGGGGCGGGCCAGTTCCACCCACAGGCGTCTGACGTGCGGGACGTGACGGTAGTGGACCAGAGACAGACCCATGTGGTCTCTGTGCCTGGAGGACGGCTGACCAGTATCTGAAGGGGGGGGGTCGCTGCTGCTGACCACCGGTATACCTCTAGTTGTCGTCTTCGGTTTGGTCGCTTGGAGAGTTTCATCATTCCCATCGCTCATCTGACTTGTTCTTCCTCTCATCTTCGGCCTCATCAATGGTTGTGACTTAAAGATTGCCAAGACTTGTCTTTTTGATAAGCGTGTGTTGCTGGCTACTGGTTCAGACTTCTCACAAAGGAACTTCGTTTTTGTACATCGGAACAGACGAATATTTTAAAAGAATCTTTTTCTGTGCAAGATCATCCAAAGAAACATTGTGCTAAATATGGATGATGATTTCAGCAAGAGAAGGAGATTGATGATTAAGATCATTTGTCCCTCAGAATATATTTCAACTTGTTCATAAGGTATTTGCAACATATTAGCATTTCTTGAAGAAGGCCAATCTGAGGCTCTTTGATATCAAATGAAGTTTTATTATTCAAAGCCTCCTTAGGAGAAGAAAAGACCTTTTGAACTTTGAATTTGGAGGAGCATTAAAATAAGTTACATGCATATGAATGTACTCACAAGACTGATGGTTATTTCAGTACAAGTACAGTTTCGGGTTCCTGTGTTTGTTCTGTCAGCGTTGAAGAATTCGATGGACTTTTTGCCTTATGACACTTTGCGCCAGTACTGGTGTGTGTTTCCAGTGTTGTTCACAGCTATGTTGTGGCGACGTTCCCTTTTCATGCTTTGTTGATACGTATTTACAATCGTGGAGCTGTGTGGTGTATGTGCTGTGTTTTCGCCAAGTGTGTCATTTTACAGCTGCAAGCAAGCACAAAGTTGTTCGGAGTTCAACAACTCGAGCATTTGGGAATTTTGGCATGCATATTTTCAGTGTTTAACCTTTCTGTGCGCTTGTGTGAGCCTTCCAGTTGGCTGCTACCGATATACTCTGTGGGTTTATTTTCTATGACAGATGGACAATGGCCTGGAGTATCTGACGCATAATGTGTTTTCACAGTGGATCTTTCATCCTCAGACTTACAGGAGATATTTTATCTTGCACACATCGAATGTCAAAAGGTCTCAGTTGTATTGAAACCGGGGTTCTATATGAGGAGAAAGCATGCAAGTTCCAGGTCACTGCAGATGCTGAGTGCTTGATAATGTGACAGGAGTTTAAACTGACCAGAAAAGATGAACAATCGACAGATTGATGCGTTCACAAGAATATATTTTATTGAACAGATGTGTCTGGTTTCCAGAATGTGATGTAAACTTTTTGTCTTTGTAGATGAGCATGTCTATAAACTAGAGGAAAAATCCTGAGTGGTCACTCTTGTGAGAATTAAGAAAAGCAGAATGGTGACTTCTGTGAGTACCAATGAAGTTATGAAAAGTGACTTTTGTGATTTCGTGGCCTCGAGACCCTTGGATTCTTGCCCTCTTCGCACACTGTTTGAGTGGAAATAACTGGGGAGGGGCAGTGCTAGGTTTACACAGACAGTGCTCATGGTAACAGTGGCTGTTTTCTGCTGCCAAAATAGGTTCAGTTTTTCCCATTATTGCCAGATGTTGATGCGAGACTTTACTAGTGTCTAATTTGTTTTGCCATTTGTCTGCAAGCTGTTCAGTTGTTCTAAAGCGTAGAGCGCAAAACTTTTTCAGAATGGAAAAAAAATCTGCTTCATTCTGTTCAAAATTGTACCCAAATTATGTATCTTGTCTTCTTGATGCTGGTTTGTTTTTTTTTTGTTTTTTTTTTGCAAACTTCTAGGATTTGAATACCAACAAATTATTTCTCGAGCACCTTCAATTGATAACTCAAAAACTGAAATTGTTAAAAAATTTTAAATTGTGGACTTACTACATCTGAAGAGCTGGCCGACGTTATTCAGAGCTGACCTTGGATGCTGACTGTGACTGAGCTGTGGGAACAGGGTTTGTACAGGAACTGGACGGATTTCACCACAGAGAAAAAAGCAAACAAGTCTCTGTGGAGGTTTTAGAAAAAAAACCTACTTTGCCACTGTGGAGACTGGGCTTGTGATAGTGATACTGTTCTCTGAGTTTGATTTTTTTTTTAAATTGCATTTTTTTTTGTTTTTAGCGTATTGCCCATCTCATTTTTCGTGAAGTTTTGAATTCACGATTTGAGCTGCCCAGTGTCATGTAAGCCTTTGTTATCAGACATACTCCTAGATATGTGCTAATATACAGCCATGGCTTTTTTAAGTGGTCTTAATTCCAATGCCGTTCTGTGTAGAAAATAAGTTCACAGAACGCAACACTGGCTTGCTTTATATACTTGGATCACGCGGTGTACGTTTTGCCAGCTCGCACGTGTGACGTAACATTGCAGGTTCTTCCTGAACTCTTGGGAAAATGATGAACAAATCCTGTTAACATTTCCCGAAAGATTTGAATAAGCAGATTCCTTCAAAAAATTGCAAAAATTGTGAATTCAAATCGGGCATGAAAAAAACCTGATGTACAGAAGTTCCAGATTGTTCCCTCACAGCTGACAACCAGTGTGCTCAGCCTCTAGCATAATTAGTATCTGTTCCCATGGCTGCGATTGATACACAGAATTGTCCAACTTCTAAGTACCTTCTGTTTTCCCTCTTTCCTTTTCTTCCATCTGTATCCTATTGCTGAGTACCTATGCTGCTGCTGGTTTGTCAAAGGACTGAGAAATCTGTGAATAATGTTTTGAATTCAGGGCACATCTTTTTTTGTTGTTTTGTTTTTGTTTGTTTTCTGTATCCATCCCTGTTCTTACCACTAATATAGCTTGTGTTGCTCGCGTTTTCTCTTCTTTTTTTTCCCCCATCTGTTTTGTTTTTGGTTTCTTGATTATTTTTTTTAAACTTTGTCCTTCAACAACATTGTCTGTGTATGACAGAAGTAACTCTTGCTCATTGTCTGACTGACACTTGGTCCGTGGTCAGTGTTTGTGAATGGCACACCACATATATAGTTGTACCTACAACAATATCTTGTATATATGCATATTCACATTTATAGCACAAGCATTATATAGTGACTCGAATTGTTGATTGCATCTTTAAATCTCTGTTTGGTATATATGTTACTGTACACAGGTACTTACAGTGTACGCAGATACTTACAGATACATGTAGGAGGGACCTTTTGTCGTGAGAAAACCAAGATAACATGACTATATTTTATTGTGATACATGAAACATGTGAGTAATATACCATCATTGCTTTTCCTAATCAAACTATTTGTTGGGACCTTGTAATAGAGCTCTTCTTGTCTTTGTTCTTTAGGCCCCCCCCCCCCCCCTCTCACACTGATACAACTTTAGTTTTGTTTATAAAATGTCCATTCTGTCATAGTGGGTTTTCTCTCTCTGCTTTTATCCCTCCTTACGTCATCTCTTCCCTTCCCTCCTCCCACCCTTATTTTTGCCTATGATTTCCCTCTACTCCTCTCCTACCGCATATCTTGTTCTTGCTCCTGTTTCAAAGGATGCCACTGTTCTGAAAACTTCAGAAAGTCCAGGGGGAAAAAACTTAAAGATTTTTATTCTGTATTGCAAATCTGACTGTATGGAAGTTTCAGTGAGACAGTGTAAGGGTGGACAGTACAGCAGGGGCCAAAGGTTGTGATGGATGTCGGGGGTCAGAGGTAGTGAGGTTAGAAATGAGGTCATGACAAGTCTCAGGGTCATGTAATGGAAATGAGGTCACCCCCTTTTTTGCTGATCTTTGTTTTATTTCCAGACTTTAAAAAAAATAATATTGTTTTGTACTAAACTATTGTTGAATAGTTTTCTGTCTCAGAGGAAATCTCAATGTTTACATCTATAATGATTGAATCCATGAACTTGGTGATATTTTGTGTGATTTTGTCAGCGTTGTTTGTTCCTTTTTTTTATGCACAACCAAACCTGTCCAAGAGAACCACCCATTGCCGAGGAGAAGAGTGGTTGTTATCTTAGACTGGTGGTCCTCTTGTATTGATGGTGTTATTCTGATTTAGGAACGGGGAAGTCTGAAGTGGTCGTTTGGACAGGTGACTGTCTTGAGCAGGGGGTTGAAAGAGCAGGTGCGGCTGCAATTTTTTTTTTTTTGCTGGTATATTTCAACATCGTACAACCACCAGCATATCAGTATGGTTTTGTTATTTATTTTGTATGTTGTGTGTGATTGTGGTATGGTGGGGGTTGGTCATTGCATCTAATGCACAGGAGGAAAAAAACTGGTTTTATATATAGAAAAAGTTTAGACACAAGTCTCAAAGTAAAATTAATCAGGGACCGCTTGAAATAGATTCTAGTTGAGCCTTGGCCAAGTCTAGAATTCCACGAAAAGAAACTTTATTAATAGCCGCTCTGAACATGAAGTTTTTGTTAAGAAAATAGACTTGGCTTTTCTTAACTACTCCTTGCTGCCAGAGACCTGGCAGCACTGCCCCTCTTAAACAGCTAAGCCACATTTGAGGAAAATGATTTTGTAGTTTACAATAGATCATCATCATCACTCACCATTTCCTCCCTGGTATTGTGTATAGACCACCAAAAAGGGCTCTCCACCTGTTTCTATTCTTAGCAATTCTCCCCTCCTCCAGCCTGCTGTGTCCCGTATGCCTAAGATCCGCCTCAAGATTTCGCTCCCAGGTGGATCTCGGCCATTCTTTCTTTCTCATCCCTTGGAGGTTCCATTGTAAGCTTTGTCTTGTCACATTGTGAGCTGGCTTCATTGCTTACATACTTATAGGTTTCTTAAAATGTGCTGAATGCTTTTAGAAGTCGTGTTTTACATAGTTGTAAAACTGGTACAGATTTAACCCCCCCACCCCTGAGATCCTGTTAATTAATCTGTTTGTACTTTTCTCTAGCTGTGTTTAACAACCTTGTCATTGTCACGTCCCTAGCTTTTTTTTTCTTCTTGTGTAGGAGATAACTTTGGCGAGACGTTCAACTATTCTAGGCCCAGAAAACAACACTTTTCAGGAGAGAGAGAGAGAGAGAGAGAGAGAGAGAGAGAGAGAGAGAGAGAGAGAGAGAGAGAGAAATCTGCTTCACTCGTTGTTTTAAAAATTGTACAAAAGCAATAATAATAGTAATAGAGATCCATTCTATTGCGCCCACTCTGGAATGGAGGTACATTCTTTAAAAAACTGTACTTAAGAAATTATAATAATAGTAATAAAGACCCCTTCGATTACCCCCACTCCCGGGCGGCTCAAGGCACTTCACAATGAAATAAGATTTAAATCAACAATTGATGCATACTGGCCGTTCAACATAATTCTTTTCTTGCTTTTTTCAACATTTAGAATTTGAATTTTGATAAGCAGATGTAACCGATACCACAGATTGATTAAGAAACGGCAATTTTTTTTTAAAAGAAAGAACATTTTGGGGTTTGTACTTCAGAACAGCTGACTGATAATAAGAATGTTATGTTAACAGATAGGGGTGGTGAAGACATCTTCATGGCAACGATGGTATGCAACATTTTTCTGTGAGGTGTTTTCTCTTTAACACATTTATTCTTTTCACTTGTATAATACGCTGTGTATCTTCATTGCACAATAATTACTGTCATCCTATCTAACTTATTTTACTGGACCGAACACTGATGTTATTCTTTATATATATATTATTAAATATATACTGTTGATGATGATATATGACCAGTTGATGACCATGTCTTTGTCTCATTGCCGTCTGCTTATTTCAGCAAACCATATGTGTCACAACGTGGTGGAGTCAGGCGCTCGTCAATTTTTGGATATATTGGGTTTTTGGTATCATCTTAAAGCCTGTACATTTGCCTTCCTTTTGGTGAAAAAAATGTCCATCTATGCTGAATAGAAGTCGAAATGTTTGCGATTGAAGGAGGTCAGGGTCGCCTGGTTTCAGAGGTAAAATGAACAAGCAAATGGCTGCCGAAGTCTGGTAATTTCCATAGCCTGAGAGTTCTTGAAAACTGAAAATTTACATTTTTTGTGCCTTTAATCAGCGTTTTTTAGTTAAATCCACACAAGAATGTCTTTTTTAAATGGACGTAAAAAGTGTTGAGCCAAAAAAAGAAAATAAGAAAAAAATTGTCCATCAGCCAAAGAAATGCCGATTTTCTTTTATCTCATTATTTTGACGAGCGCATGATTCCGCCACGATGTTTCACATATCCTTATAATGTTGGCCAGCTGTTCATCTGTTACAAGTCCAGAAAGCAAAATTTTTAGGAGTGAGAAAAAAAGTGTTTCATTCTTTTAGAAATTGTATCGAAAAGATGCACATCTTTTCTTGCTTTCTTTTCTACAGTTAGGATTTGATTATGGACTAATTATATTTGGACTTTATTTGGAGCATGTGCAACTGATTAAGAAAGAAACTTCATTTTTTTAAAATTCCAAATTCTGGGCTTAGTTCATCTGAATAGCTGGCCAAAGATATATAGCTTATGTTTATTTTGAGAGATGAGAGTATTTATAACTTGGGTATTTATAACTCCATGTGTGTGTGTGTATGTGTGTTGCCTACATTTTTCACAACATTTTTGCTGGAAATAACCTTAGAAAGTTTTGAAGATCAACTCTTAGGAAAATGTAATATAGACAGCCTGTATGCTGAAACTGTAGCTGGCAAGCCAAAGCTCAGTTGGACACACATCTTTCTCGAAAGAGCAGAGGTTGTTGTTAAAAAATGAATGTGAATATTTCTCATGAATGCGAATATTTCTCAGCATCTGGCGTTCCGTTTTTGAACTAATAACAACAGCTTTCAGAGTCGACCATTTGAAAAAAGTAATAGATGAGGGCTGTCCAACCAAGCACAGTTTTCACGCACTGTATCTCCCTCACTTGAAGAACAAAATTAACAAGGTTTTATCTCAGAAATTTAAAGAAGTTGGAGTCCTAACTTTTATTTGTAAATGAGGACGAGTTAGAACGGGGAAGGGCGCCTGACACTGTTTCTCCAAACACAAAAATTCTGAATTACATCCTTGTTATATGTGAGGTGTGCTGACAAAATGAGTTACTTCTCGGATTTCAGCCTTATGGAAATTGACACATCAACTTGATAGCTGAAGTTTGTACAGTTTATGAGCATGGAATAGTAAAAGACACAGTAAACTTGAACAAAATGGCATCAATTGAAAATTTATAAATCTGACCCCAGTGTCGATTTTCAGCCGATATCTCCATTCTTGGATCGTTAGAAGTAACTCATTTTGTCAGCACATCTCACATATACTGGGGTTTTTACTTGTCTTCAGGCTTTGTCTTGATGAGCGAGATCATGGGCACGTTACTTTCATGAACCAGCAGTCTCATCATGCCTTGTCCTTTGTTCTCAGTTTCTAGTGTTTTACGAATTGTTACTTTCTGTTACGACCGTATGTGTTTCCCTATTGGAGTATATTCTGTGACATAAAATGACATAATGTCTCATGTTACTTACTTTTTGAAGTTTTATGATTCAGATATTGTGTTGAGAAAAATTGTCTTTCACTTTATTAATATTTGTTGCGTTTGAAGTACTCGCTAGAAGTGAAAAAATCAAAGTTGCAGGTGCAGTTTTAAGGGAATTTCTGGGGGTGATTTTTTTTTCTCTGTGTATATTTTGTTTGTCAGTGGAAGAGGTTGTGTGAGTGAAATTTCTGTTACTACTCAAGACCTCAGAACCTTTATTATGTTGATAATTCTCAAACTATTGTGAAATTGTGAACATTATTCTGCCTGTTTTTTTGTCATATATAGACTTAATGCATCTCTAATTTTCTCACAAAATGCATTCCAACTGCTTGGGTGCTGCCTTTCTGTGTTGTAACAGTTGATTTGTTGCTTACTATAATAATGGGTTAATTTTTTCGTATGGCTATGTCCCTGGTTACCTTTCCTCTGTCTCGGCTTCTCTGTTTGAGTGTTGCTTGCTTTTGCTTTTGTTACCGTTTGTGAGGACCATTCATTTTCTGCTTACCAGCCTCTGTGATGTAGCAGTTAGGCGCTTTACCGTCGCACGCAGAAGACCCTAGTTCGATTCCCATCTGTGGAGAAATTTTTAATGAGTCTCATCTTTCTGATGGGACATTGTGTTCTTCCTCTCAGCCCAGGATGGTCCTGACAGGCAGTGCCAAAGCCTGCCTCTTAATTGTTCTAAATCGTGTTGATGGGGGCGTAAAAATACCAACATTTTTTTCTTAATCCTTTCTACATGCCTGCTTCGTTGTTTACTGTGCTTACTGCCCTATGCCGGAGGTGTCTCTAGCCTTGTGTTAGTATCATTAACTTTTTGCCCCACGAATGAACATTCGGGAAAATGGAGCTTTTTTTGGGGGGGGGTTAGATGTGTTGTGGGAACATGCAGTTTGTGGACTGATTAATTTTAAATCAATAGCTCATTTTTATGCACTTTCATTAACACTTATATTATGCAATACCATTCTGTATTCTTCCCATCTAAATTCAATAATATGCCATGCCTTCCTCTCTGTCAGTATATTATGTCAGCACAGAGCTTTGGAGCGTCAGTGAATTTAGTGCAGATTAAATTTGGGT